ATATATATATATATATATATATATATATATATATATAAAAATATATATTATCTTTATCTACAGAAAGTGATGTGTCCTCAACACCAGGAAACAATGTTGTAATATAGAATGTTGTCTAAAATTGCACATTTTATCAAGTACCACATTTAGAAAGTAATAGAACATAGGTAACCTGTCAATGTCCTTTCCCGCAGAAACTATAACTTTAGTAAACTTCACAATTAAAATTGTCTCTTGTCTATATGGCATGGTGTCTGCACACCCATTTTTTCTGAGTATATGATTGGTTTTAACTCTGCAACATAAGAAATATGTTTGCTGTGAGCAGCTGAAACTAAAGTATGTCCTGAAGCATAGCCCAATATTCTGTGGGAAAGAAAGTCTCCAAGCTTGCAAATTCCAAAGAAAACTTTGAGGAAAGAAAGGGGGTCCCTTCCCTACCCTTCCAGACCTCCAAAACTCCTCTTGTTATCAGTGTGGGAAAAATTCTATAACTCTATCACCACTAGCATGATGGTCTGTGGAATCTCAGGCCACCACCAGTTGGGAAAGCTATGAGGTTGATCCTGATTTTTAATGGAATAGGGGAGTGGCCATTCCACAATGGAATAGGACATAGACACATTTGAGTTTGCCAAAGGCTGAGGTCTTCATTTCATTTTAGTGAAATCATCTTGAAGAACCTAAATCACTGAGCTTTCCCCAAGAGCTGTGTGTGTATGTCAATGGCACTTTCAGATGGCAGAATCACCAGCATCACTGGATTGATGATGATTTGCCACAATAGAAATAAACTGTCCAAAGTCTACTACCTGTTATATATAATTACTCAAGTAATGAACTATACTTAGAGCTGGATGCCATCACACATGGATTAAATAAGCCAGCATGGAGCTAGATAAAATACTGCACTTGATGATCATAATTTCATAATAAGAAAGAAAAGAGGGCAGCATCACTGTAAGTTTTAAGGAGTGTTACGCAGGAGAGATTTCTATTGCAAATCAGAGTAATTCAGGGATGGTGATGATATGGTTGGTGTTAACCTAAGAATGAGTCTCTGTGTTTTCCACTGACATGAACTTCCTACCATCTGGAGGTAATATTGCTGTCATTGTGTCTCTGTCTCCATAACTCCTCCTCAGTGACAGATGTGAAGCTTCTCTTCCCTAGGTCACCTGTTAGCACCGCACAGACAGCGCGATCCTCACAGCAGAAGCCCACACGGCCTGGTTTGTCAGTCCCGGCACCACCTTCACCTCCAGGTGGGACCACCGCACCTGCTTGTCACTAACACCTGGAGACATTTAAAAATGTTCAGTGCATGTTGTCATCCTCCCGCCTCTGGGGAGCTGTCTGTTCTCCCTGTCCCCTGCAGCAAACCTCTCCCAGCCCTGAGCAAGTGTGCCGTCCACTGCTACCTCTGCTGACCTGCCCACTCTGTGGTGCCAGCAATTGCTCAGCTTGGTGTAGCCCCTTTCTTGGGGCTAAAATTTTAAGAAGCTCACCCAAATCATCATGATTTTCTGATTAAAGGTATCTTGGGCGCCTCCTCTGTGTTTACCTTCTGGAATGAGGTCAGCATGGAAAGGAGATAGCTCAGGGAACTCCACTGAGACTCCTCTCCCCCTGTCTCTCGCCGTCCAGGTGAACTCCCACTCACCAAGAGAAAGCCCAAGTTCTCGCCAACACTTGCTAAAATGTGCACCACACCCCTTTCGAGGATCACTGCAGAAGCACACATTTGTCTAGAATCCTCTAAAGCAAATTTTAGAAACTCACCTCTCAGCATACACTCAAGCTCTGCCCTCTGCAGGAAGTCTCTCTTGACCCTCCCAACCCGAGGACCGACGGTCCCTTCCTTATGCACCCACTGTCCCTTGGACGCTCTGCCATGCCACTTGCAACATGCTGGTGTGCACCCTGAGAGGCTCAGTAAATGTGTGACAAAGAGATGGGCACACTAAGAGGCCCCTAAAGTCCCCTAAAGCCCCCCAACCATCAAATACATGCATCACATTTGGGAAGAGATGGCCTGAGCCTGTGTGAACCTTCCACAATGAGCAAACACCCCTTCTTGGGGGAGGTGTCTCCTTATACTGCTCCCTGAGGATGCCAGGAGGGGACTGGCCAAAGCGTCTCCATCACCCACAGTGCCTGCTTAGAGCAGCTGCTGCTCGGAGAAGTTGGTGGACTGATGGCAGTCTGTGAGGACAAGCGCTGTAAGGGCAGGGACAAGGGCCATCGATCTTTTGCTCCCAAAGCCTCGAGCAGTGCATGACCTCAAATGTCCCCGCTGGATGGTGTGAAAGATACCTGTGTGTGTCATGTTGTGTAGACCACACTGGGGGCAAACAATGCACAGCAGGCTGGCCAAGAACCCTTCCTTCCTCTGATTTGTGGGATTTGGGGGCTACTGGATAAGGAAACACCCAGGAAGAGTTCTCAGGAGGCAGAGGATCTAATCTAATTAGAGGTGGATTCAGGTTTCACAGGTTTCCAGAACTATCAAGCACTTATGCAAATGATCTTGCTGAGACTCTGGGTATTTGGGATGTACTTTACTTTCTCATTCAAAGAAAATGCTGCTGTCTAAAATCTGGCCCCAAACTGGCCTCTCCACCTGAGGCCTTGACCGGTTTCTGGCATGAGAGTCACACTTGGGCTCAGTCTCTGTGGGCGTGCCCACGGATGATGGGTTATGCCCTCAATCACCTTTATCTTTCACCTCTGCGAAGAAAACTATCCCTATTATTGCTACTGAAATTACAGTAATAAGTGTGGCTTAACAATTAACACGAAGAAATGTACTTTAAACTATTTGGGCATTAGCAGTATACCCAGTGTAAGTGTGGCTGGCAAAATCCTTTATGAAAACCCCATTCACCTGACAAAATGGGATGAGGAGGCATCTTCTGAAACACACTACCTTAGGTGAGCCTTATGAGTGTGCATGCGTGTGTGTGCATGTGCGTGTTTGTGCACGTGTGCATTTCCCACCCATTTCCTCTAGTTCCATGGGCAAAGGAGATTATGGGATAGGGGAGACTAACAGCAACGGAGTGGTGGCCAGTACCCCATAGAGGATGGCGCGCTGGGACCGGGCACCCAGGTAGCTCTGGCCTGTGCCTGGGGTACCTACCAGAGTGCGTGCGCAGGTGGCCTGTGAGGGCGTCCCTCCGGCGGCAGGCGTAGTTGCAGAGGTGGCACTTGAAGGGCTTCTCCCCGGAGTGCAACTTGATGTGCCGTAGCAGGTTGCCTTTCTGGGTGAAGGAGGCCCCGCACTGATTGCACTGGAACGGCCGTTCTCCTGGAACCGAGAGAAGAGAGCGGGTGAGAACAAAACTCAGCGCGGGGACAAGAGGACAACACCAGCGAGAAAGTTGTTTCCCACAGGGGCTCGGTGACTTCCACCGGCTGCAGGTTTGATAGAACATGAGGCTTTCAGACTAAACCTGCCAGCTCCTTAACGCTCCACTGGCTGGGTCAATTTGATCTGAAAATCTAATTTTTTTCCCCTAAATCAGAATGGCACATCACAATGCAAATTCAAACTCATTTAAATAAAGTGACTGCAACATTTTGTGATGAAGAGCCACTCTTCCTGATCAGCAGTTTTGGAATAAACCAATATCCAATTTTGCGTGTTGTGGCATTTGGTGGGTTTTTTTAATGTGGCTTTTTTCAAAGGGTCTTTAAAATATGCCACTGAAGCAGCAAAATAAAAAGGAAACTCATTAAAAATGCATTTCAGGATCACAAGTTCATTTCAGCGTTACATTCTTATATTTAAATGAAAGGCACTTCATTATAACAGTTATAATAACTTCTTTTCATTTACATTTTCCCTGTATTTTCCCTTTCAATTTCTTCTCCATTACCTGTCTGTCCCTAAGCAGGCAAATCAGGAGAGAGACAGACAGAGAGAAAGTGAGGGTGAGGGAGAGAGAGAGACTGAATAAAACGAGAAGTTAAGAAACTCTGCAGGAAGCTCCCACCTTCCAAAGAAAAGTCCCAAATCTCCCTACGGCAAGGATGGAAAAGACAGAGTTGCGTTGAGGTTTTGTGATTTTTAATTTCTTCACAAATCCTGAAACCTTTAAGCTATTATGTATCTATATCCATAGAAGACAAGTTATATTTTAAGTACAGATATTCTAAGAGGTGCAAGTTAGTTGTTTTTAAGGAATTCTTTTTCAGTGCAGTACTACTGAATTTGTGACTAAGGAAACACTTGCATCTCTGCTGTGAATGGCAGAGCGTGTGCTATATTCTGGATCTGCAAAGGGATAAACAGGTATCTGAGAAAAGAAACATGCTATTGTCTTGCTGATCTCAAAATCTGAATCAGCGAACATTTCATTTAACGCCCACCTAAGACACTGATACATTTGTCACATTTAGGTAAATATTAAAGATCTTTTGAAAAAAAAAATGCTTTATTTAGAAGAGGAGCACTATGCGGCCAAAATTCCTGGTGTATTTCCTAGGGACAATTTTTTTCTTAGGAAAAAAGAACGTGTTAAAACGTCCATTTAGCCATTTCCCCAATTGATTAATGTGACTGTAGTGAAGAAGACAGCACTTATCAAAAACGATCAGGCAGACGCATATCTGGTACTATTAAAATCCACAGCAGATTAAATTTAAAAATCCGTATTGGCACTTGAATTTCATGACAATCATCACTTTTTTTTAAGTGGGCAGGATGGATGTGCTACTATAAAAGTTGAAACTAATTTATAGTGATATTCAATTATAGGCAAGTGGAGGGGTCCTGATACTAACCAGATGTATCTGGTATTTGCCCAAATCCCTATCTGGATTGAACTCGCCTGAGCAGAGAGAAGGGGTTTAAAGTCAAGCAGTTGGAAGGTGCTGGTTAACTAACTCACTTACTAACTCTCTTAGTTACAAACCCATGCACATAGCTGATTTAGATGGGGAGATTAAAACAGCTGGTAGCCAGGTAGCCCCGAGGAGCTTCCAAAGGAGGTCATTTAATTACATGTCTGGACCTTCATCCCATGTGTGTGAATGTGCGTGTGCAATTCCAAGTGGACAAAAGGGAAAAATAGAGTGATCCTGTGTGCAGTGGGACCCAGAGAGGGAGAAAGGGAACATGTCTTGCCCACAGATCTTGTTTGGGCAGGGCAGACCCTCAGGCTGGCTGAGAAAGCTAATGTCACAACCATTCTCTTAATAAGGATGTGGGGACGATCCTGGTGATACAACTGTGATTGTAGTAGGACCCAAAACTAGAGTATCCACCTCTCCACCTATGACGTGGGAAAGACCCCTTTCCATGCTGGCAGGTGCTGGGGTCCCCTGTTCCTCCCTAGAGCTACGGGCGTTGTCTTGCTCAGTCCGGACAGAAAGGACAGATTCTTACAGCCACTCTGCCCTCCTGCAGAACAGGCAGGCATGGAGGGTGTGATCTGCAGGCAAGGCGGGCTGCACTGGGAATCTGCTTCTGATCGCCGGTGCCTACGTGAATCCACAGCCCAGGGCGTGGGGGTCCTGAAGAGAGTATTCCCAAAAGTGACAACAGAGTGCTCCTCTCAAGGGAGTTTCCCCTGGGGAGGTTTTACCAGGTAAGGAACCAGCCCCCATTCTGTGTGTTCTCCTTCTGTGGCCACCGCCTGCCTTCTGCAGGACAACAGCTCATATTTGTGGTTAAATGAGATCAAGTTTCTTAAAGGTCATATTTAATTTTATTTAGTTGGGATGAGGACTTTAATATCATGATCAAAATTTGGTGTTTAATCCCAATGACTCTACAGATCTCCTACATTTGGGACCCTCTGTAACAATGTTGAGTCCCTTTTCATAACTTCATTGGGTAAAAAAGAGTCTTTGAGGATGCCTACCTTATGAAATCTCACAGCAGAAGAAGGTGAATTAGAAAATGTGTCTGAACTGCGAGAACTGTCCTGGGGACTCTGCCACTGCACCTCGTGGCAGCGTTACCACCAGGGTGCTGTGTTTAGAATGCATGGTGCCTGTTCCTTTTTACCTTACAGGTGGGAGCAGATAGGCACAGGGCTATACAAAATAACTACAATTCTGACACTCTTCTTGGTCTTTACTTTGTAAAACCCCTTGGTCTAGAATAATAATGCGTGCATCTGCAGGGCAATTTTTTCTCTGCATTTTCGCTTCCTTCCTACAACTCTCCAAGGTAATTCTCACACTAACCCTGAGGTGTAGGTGCAGAAGGTGTCCCTATTACACCTGAGTGAAAACAGGGGCAGTGGAGTGCTGGTACCAACAAAGTGTAGAAAACGGCACCAGTGGAACTTCATCAAGGCGGTGATGGGGCAGGGGCAGAGGTCTGTGCCTGGGAGATGTCCCCTGCAGTCCCTTTGGCTTATCAGGGAAGGCACTGGGGAGCCCTGCAGTGCCATGCTGGCGTGGTCATGGACAGGAGCAGGAATGGCCACAGTGCAAGTCCTAGCTTGTCCACATTGGACCTAAGCTCCCAAGGGAAGATCTGCCCCCAGTGGACCTGTTCACTGTCCACTGCTCAGCTGCACGTCCCCCCCATCAGAGGATGCTCTGGGTCCCTGCACTCCTGGGGGCCTTGAGAAATGCCCGCCCTCGGCCTCCCCCAGGGTCTGAATCAGAGTCTGTGCTTTCAAAAGATCCCAAGTGGTTTATATGCCCCTCAGAGCTTGGGAAGCATTACTCTAGAAGTGTGCTACATGTAGAGCATTTAGAAAGCATGCCTTTTCTAACATACTCCACTGAGATCTCAGGAAAATGAAAACCTTCTTGGCATGTCTAGTTATTCAAACCTAGCGTGGCCAGACTATGTGTTTCTATATCTACCTGTGCCCCTCCATGTTTGTGCAAGTGGAAACACATTATGGAGACGACCCATGAGTTCATTGCTGCAAGTGTTACATTTTGTTTTGCTTTTTTGAGTAAAGGGCAAGACAGGAACTATGAAGTTGATAGTGTGTCCCTATTTCTGGAAGTTATTTGTTTTGTAAGTGAAGAATTTGTGGTCTTGGTGAGTATGTGGCACTTTGCTCCCACTGGTTGGGAGAAATGAGCCATCAGCAGGGCTGCTTTGCACATCTGTACTCAGCAGGTTTACTCATTACATGTAATTATTCTTTGTATCAAGGCAAGCAGTTATTCTGTTTTGGCAATTTGGCATGCCAGAATTTGATTCACTTATCGAATATTTATTTAAGAGAATTTTCACTGTACAGTCATGAATTAGCAGGAAAGCAATTCACTTGCGAGGACTATTCCTAATCGGGAATGTATTAGCACAGGAGTCCAAGCACCCTGCTAAGTGTCTATGACAGGGAAGTTCACGTTCACGTTCATTTCTACCTCACCCCAAAAAGAATGGGATGGCTCCCAGCACGCTTACTTAGCGTGGGAGGGTTCTGTCACACCGGGTACTTTGAGGATTAAGGTACCCATTAGGAAAAGCAAAGCTTGCTTAATTTTAGAAGTTAAATTTTTACTAAAGATGGATGTCTACTGAAAATAAACTTATTTATGGTTTTCCAGATATATTATCAATGGGATACATCATCTTGTAAACTGCCCTGAATCAAATACAAAATTACAACCCCACAAATATCTGCATTTCTTGATAAAATCTGCTATACCTGCACAATGTGCTTTGCATCTGTTTTTTTTCCCCCTTTCTGGGTACTACAGTGGCAGACACTAGCTTTACCATGGTCCACCAAAGCCAGCTCACAAGCAGTGATGGCTCAGCGCTTCTATATTTCACATCCAAGCTTTCAGTGATCACTAGAGTCGGTGGATTTATCGTGTATTATCCACCTTTAGGGCAGCTTCCCACGGAAAGAAAAGTTTCTGCTGAAATCAAAAGAAACCTCGTGCATACAGTTAGAGGTAAAATGTGTGCCATTAATATTTCATTTCTGAGTCTCTTTAGCACCATCAGAGGTGGTGACTCGGCAGTTCTGTTGGACAAGTGTGAGACTGTTCAATCAACACGACTGACTACCGGAGACACAGGGCGGGCACGATGTGGCCACTCGAGACTCGGCAGGGCTTCCACACCCCCCATCCCCCGGCGACAGGTCATCTTGTGAGCTGGGGCAGGACCACCTGACACTAATTGCCATATCCCCTCATCTCTGGATGCAGATATCACATTCTCTTATACTTTGAAAGCCTCCAGTAAACCTCTCAATAAGACAGGGGCTTTGGCATGAAATCCTTTACTGATTTGAAATGAAAATTCAAATTGGCAATCAAACCCTTTGATTCAAAGTCTCACTGTTCGAGAGGGAGTCATTTGAAAACTGATCTGAACTCTTTCCGAAAAACTAAATTTTGCTGCAATCCCATCCTTCATTCATGTTTCTAAAAATCAAGCCCCACCTGATAATTTGAATGCAATTACAATGCATGTACGACTTAGGGTTTCTCAGTGGAACATCTGAGGAATAAGTTTTGGTGTCAGTAGATTTCTGTTTTGTCTTGTTTTGATAAGGACGGACCACTTAGCCCATGCATCCTACAGGGGCAGCTGAGACTCTTCAGGGAGCATGATATCAGGCCTCTGAAAGCCCTCGCATGATGCTGTTCACTTGTCCCTGGTTTTACTTATAGGATCAAATTGGTACATGTTGAGAAGTCCTTTTAAATGCTGTCCCAGAACCAGAACACCATATAGTCCCCATACGACGTGGAGCCAATCCCTTGCAACTGAGCTGCCAGTTTGAAACATGCTTAAAACACTCCCCGAAGACAGGATGTTTTCCTCCTTCCACACCCCACAGGACCTTCTCCAGGTCACTACAGGAAAAACTAAGCCCGGCCTTACCAGTGTGGCTTCTTTTGTGAACCATGAGCACATTGGGCCCGATGCAAATGATCCCACAGATATCACACTTTAGCTTTCCGTTAGGAAGTCGAATGCCTCCAGCTCCCGACAAAGCCGAGCTGCCTTGGTCCCTGTGGGGGGCATGCATTTTCTCTCCCGAGGCATCAAGCATTCGTAAATCCTCCGCACATGCCTCCCCATTCATTTCACAGGCACGCCCATTCTCTTCATCACTCTGAGTCTCTACTTTAACATTACCGGCTGAAAGAAACAACACAGGAGGCCACTCAGTGTCACTGCAAAAACAAAACAGCACAGCAGCAAAAACATAGTCGAACACATGCAGGGCTGCTCAACAGCAGGTCTTTGCATATACCAAGGGGAGGGCACTGAGCCTCCGATGCTTGGGGCCTGCAGAGGTCACAGGAGACACAGGGATGGGGCGACACAGGGGGTACCTGCTGGCCCTCTCCATAGATCTGAATGTCTCTGAAAATGCATGAAAAAGCTACTTATAAAGACTGCACTTCAGAGCTGGGTCCTCACTTTAAGCAGGGTGAGGTCACTGGATCCATAGCCTGGTGGAATCCTCAGAGTGACCCGAGGCTGAACCCTACACCCTACCTGCCAGATGAGCACCTTGCCCTAGAAGGTGAGTACTGGGGAACATAATCCAATTCCCTAGCATGCGTGAGCTTGTTTGGAAAAATACCCAATACATGGTTATCAAGCCTGAAAAGCCTCTCTTATTCATAATGTTAGCTACCTTTCTACTAATAAACTTTGGAACAAATCTTGGTCAACACTTGCTCAGAGTTCTGACCAAAGATCCTTTTCAGATTCCTGAAAGATGTGTTTCTTGGGTACATGATCATTTAAATTCCTTTTTACCTTCCGGTGATGTAAACAAATCCTGTGTCCTAAAGCAGAGGTTTCACTTACATTTCTTGCACTTGCTCAAAGGTTCCCTGGGATCGTTTTTGAACGTAAGAGACATGGAAGAGCTTCTCAAAAAGAAAGAAGCGTGTGTGTGCATGTGTGTGGCAGGGGGCCTGCCAGTGTTCATGAATACGGTGACCAGGGTTTTCTCTGCACTGTTGTTTTCTCTAAGTCACTTGCAGGGTAATTATGTCATTTGCATATTTATCTTCATAAAGAAAATAAGAGACGTTTGTTTGAATTCTTCTGAAACTCTGCCTGGATGAACCCAGGACTGGATGAACTGATGAACACAGGACTGTAGTAACTAGCAGAGGTTCAGGTGCACTGAAAATCACTGCTTTTACAGACTGATAAGAGAAGGCAGGTAAATTTCACCAAGATAATCAATGAGATAGATGACGATCATGACCATATAATTTCTGAACAACATTTTCAATGAATGCTTCTCACAGTTTGATCCCCAGAGAAGCAGCATCAGTGTCACCTGAGAACTCGCTAGAAATGGATTTCCTTGGGTCCACCCACAGCTACTGACTCAGAAACTCTGGGCTGGGCCCAGCAATCTGTGTTTTAAAGAGCCCTTCGAGGGTTCTAATGTGCAGTCAGGACCGAGAACAACTGTTCTAAATAATCGACTTAGTTAATGACACTCCAAGTTTATTTGACAGATTCCTCTTGGTTTGGAGATCTAGAGTCCAGACACCGAAATCAGAATACCTCGTCTGGAATCTCAGCTCCACTACTCAAAAGCTCTGAGATCTCAGGCAAGTCATGTAACTTCTCTGTGCCTTGATTTCCTCATCTGTAAAAACAGGAACTATCACAGCACTGGCCTAACAGGGTAGCTGTGAGGATTTAGTGGGTTAACAGATGAGAAGCTAGCTTAGGACAGGGACTGGGACATGGTGAGCAGAGCTCCCAATACAGACACTACATGGAGCAAGGCTCCACCTAACTCCAGTAATGTTCACAGCACTCACCACATGCAAGGTGCATAGCCCTTTAAGTGCACTCCATTAATTAACCCTCACAACAACCCCGTAAAGGAAGTACCATCACTGTCCTGTTTTACAGTGGAAGGAACTGAGGCACAGAGAGGTTGAGCACCTGGCCAGGGTCACACAGCCAGCAAGTGGCAGAGTTGGGAGCTAACTGCAGGTGCCCAAATTCCTAACTACTACATTGCTAATGTTTTCCCATTAGCTCCTTGATGAAAAGAGCTACAGACAAATAAAGAAACACAAAATTAATTGGAACACAGGCCACAGCCCCCACAGTGGATTTGGAGACCCCAAAATGAGGATGTACCTCTAGGCTGAACTGTGCTGTCTCCTCCCATTGGAACCTGGCATTATCATGGCTGTCCTGAGAAATCCAGCAGCGAGGATTCTCCAAATACTCTTCTCTACAAGATTCTGGAGATCAGAGATTCAGAGCACCTCGCATCTGCTAACCTCCCCAGTGCCAGAGACAAGAGGCCGAATCCTACAGATACGGTAAATGAAGAGGAGGCAGCAGGTAAGCGAGACCGGCTTGCCGTCCAGGCAATGGTGCTTACTGACCACGGAGTTCTCTACAATCAGTATGCTCCGGTATGTGCTCAGTGTCTATCAGGTGGAAGCTAACTCACTGGGCCTTCACAGCTCACCAGCGTCTGCACCGGCAGACTCTAGACACACGATACAGTTGCAAAGATCTGTGTACTTTTTAACCTAGGATTATTTGTAACCACCTGTCTTAAGGGTTTTTTTTAAAATGAGACTGAGGCATTCAAGAGCACACTGGAGCAAATTACAGTTAGTGTGGCAAGTTCTTTAAGCACGGAAGCTAAGACACAGGTTGCACTTAGCCCAGCAGGGCTCCCGTGGCTGCAAAAAAGACCACGCAGAAGAACTAGTGTTCCTCTACTAGGGTTGATTTCATACATTTAGAGGCATATAAAGAACTTGCTCTTGCTTTCCCGAGGACAAACATCAGTACATGGTCCACTAACACCTGCCAGAAGCTACGTCTTGTTCTTCTGTGTTATCAAGAACAAGTATTCCTGTGACTCTGGCGTGCTCTACGGCGCGTGCTATGGATGACTGTGGGCACTTCCTAGGGAGGAGCAGAACAGCAGGGACACATTGGGGATGACCTTCGGGTTTCTGGCTTCAGGAGCACCAGTTCTGCCAAAGCAGGCTGCTTGCATAGGGAGGCAAAGCTCAGTGTCAGGACGGAAGCAGATGAGGAAGCCTGGGGAAAGCTTGCAGTGGGTGCTGCCTTCAATACCACAGAGGTCCTCCAAGCCAGAAGACTTGCTACCAACTGCTAATTTGACTTGTGGCAACTGAAGGCGGGACTTTGTTATTAGCCTACATAGCACCATTGCTGAGAGCTATAACAGAACAACAAAAAGAGGCTCGGAAAGGCATGTGAGTCTATCCCAAGTTATCCTGAGATCAAGGTGGATACCAAGGTACAATTTTAGGTAGACATGCTCTAGAGATGGATAGGTGTGAGGACAAAAATAAAAAGATCTGTTATGCAGACCTGTAGGAACAGCAGTAAGAATTTTCAGTACAGAAAGAGGTAAAGCTCAAAGAAGAAAATTAAGGATGCTGTGATGTTCGAGGTTTCTGGAAAACAGTTTGCAGACAATATCCCCAGATCACTGTGGGCAAGGCCAAGGGACCCTAAATAAGGGAAATCTGACAGAGGGGTCCTAATCCACAAGTGCCACGCATGTTTCTAAGTAGGGGCTCAGTGGCAGGTGCCTGGCGTTCTGGAGCTGGAAGCTTGCTAGCACTCTGAGGACAAATGGTAGGCCGTGTGATGACAGGAAAGATCCCTATGGTCTAGAAAGGGAATGGAGGACCGCCAGGAGTCGGGGCAGGGTGGGGGGCTTGGAGAGAACTAGGTGGGCCACTGTCAACCACGGGGCAGGTTAGATTCAAGCAGTGGGTGGATTTTCTCCAAACACAGGCAAAAGGTCCTTGTGTCTTTGTGATCAACTGCAAACTGGGTGCTGGTGCCATAGAAAAAACCAAGAGATATCCGTCCACCCAGGAGGCCATCCATGAAATGGGCGTCTCTTATCTGGCTAGGAGAATACAAGTGTTATGCTAATTATTTTCGTAGATGACAGAGACTGGGGCTTGAAACTATCTTCATAAGTTGCAGATATAGATTGGATCTCAAAAGTTGGAACCTAGTGGGGCCGGCCCAGTGGCGCACTGCTACAGTGCGCCTCTTGGGAGTGCATGGCGGCACTCCCGCCGAGGGTTCAGATCCCACATACAGACCGGCTCCCGCTCACTGGCTGAGTGAGGTGCGGACGCAACACCGAGGGTTGCGATCCTGTTGCTGGTCCGGTCCGGTACGGGCGTGACACTGAGGGTTGCGATCCGTTGCCGGACACGAAAAAAGACAAAAAGGAAAAAAAAAATTCTTCTTATGCCTGGGAGTGAAATAGCTGAGTCACATGATAATTCTGTGTTTAAATTTTTGAGGACCCAACAAACTGTTTTCTAGAGCAGCTGCAACATTTTACATTCCCACAGCAATTTGTGAAGGTTCCAATTTTTCCACATCCTTACCAGCACTTGTTTTGGAACCTAGTAAACATAAATGTAGAGTCCAGGAAATTAAAACACACATTTTAGAAAGACAAGCGCAGGATGAGGGTGTAAGTGTGAACAAAGTTTCTGGAGTGTGAGCTGAATGTAAGCTCAATCCATGATGTGGCCAGAAAAAAGGAAGACAGGAGATGCGGCTGCAGCATCCTTCGCACCAGCCAAGTGCTACGTGTGCCTCCTTTCACAGACAGCAAGCGCAGGCCGGAGTGGTTTCAGAAGGCAGGAAGTTAGCGGGGACTGACACCAATTTCTACAAGGAATGTCCAAGGCCCTGGGCACTCTTGGCTCAGAAGGTAACGGTCAGAGCTGAGAGGTTGGGGCGGGAGAACTGCAGAGACTCCTCTAGGCACCTTGGCCATGCAGGACTAGACCTCCCCTCTCCCTCGGCTCCTGAATGTGAAGAGAAGGCGCCTCAGGACAGGCAACTGCGGATGGAAGCAAGAAAGAGGCTGTCCCAAGAGGGGGGTCCGCAGCCACAGGAGCCTCTGCAAAGAGGACAGTGTGCAGGGGTGGTGGGAGCCCGGGCTCAGTTCCATGGATGCGCCTCCCACCCAGAAGAAAGAAGAGAGGGCCCTGGTCCCGAGGGCCTTCCCCTTTACCTAGAACAAAACACAAGTGGTGTTTGGCCTGTGCGTGAGTGTACACATCCACTGAGTGGGTGCATATGAGCTTTTGTGGACCCTTGATTTTAAAATCCACATC